TTCTTCGGATCACAGCCAACCATGATCTAAAAAAATTAGGCTGAAATTGTCATGGCTCTGCTAAGGGATTTCTGCATTTTCCTGGTTTCAGGAAGGCCAGCAATACTATGGAGCAAGCTCCCTTTTGTGGGGGGCCTCTGCCTACTGTCCCAGCTGGAGTCGCTAGGGATGGTAGTCACCTCAGGCAGAAGGCCAGTAGAAGGTCAAGGTGCCATGTAAGTCTCATTCAAGCCCTGAGGAAGTACTAGGCAGCAGTTTCTTTTATAATGAAGGGTGCTGGAACAGTTCAGCAAATGGAACGATTGGCCTGACTGGGCATTTATTCACAGGTGGCTTCATCATCCAGGTTACTGTGCCAAGCTATGGCCTGGAGGCAGCTGTTTAGCACTTGGATAAGGAGAGCACTGCTCCTCTCAGTACACTCACAGTTCCTTGTAATCCTCAGTTGTCATCTTGAATCTGGAGGAGACACGGGGGAGGCTGGCACTCTTAGCTGCAGTGCTGTAGACAAACACAGATCAACATCTATTAACATGACACTCATGACCTCTTACCCTCCTGCCAATGTCTCCCCCAAGCACACCTGAGAACATTTCACAAGAAAAGAGTGACCCAGTGGATTCTACCTATGAGTTTAGCTAACAGTGTTCAAAGTATGGAAGCACATTGGTCTTTTAAGGTGTCCTGGGCTGAGATCTGAGATCTAAGCACCTCTGAGAATTATCCTATTTGACCCAGGAATCCCTACCCATCAAATTATGCTACCTTATTTCAAAGACAGATAATGTCCTGGCAGCAGAGACCTCTTTTAACAGTGCTTTCTTTTGGACAATAAAGGGATTAATTCATAGGGGCACTGTGGCTTTCAAGCACTCAATTTACCTTGTTCTGGGAAGAGAGACCCTTCTAAATGATCAGGGTTAGTTCAGTTGTCTTTGCATCACTTGACCCCATCCACAACAATTTGCTAAATTTAGTATAATTATGCAAGTAGTTTCAATTGACCAGAGTTTTGTGTTTTTTACTGTATAAAATATTGTAGGGTTTGTTTCCAGTTTCCTTCACTTTGTCTAATCTATGTGATTATTAACAGGCTTCATCCTATGTGAATTATAGGAGGTGGTGGAAATGAGGCTTTTCCTTTAAATATCCCCCTGTTCCAGAATTTAATTAAGATCCGTGGGAACCCATATACACTGTCCAAAATCAAAACCTGATTCTTAGTGAATGTTGAATAATAGCTCAAGCAGACCTTGACTGAGAACAGGTCAGACAAACCTTTTTTGTGCTCCGTTAAAAGAAGGGGAAGTCATCTGGGGAAGAGTCTTATCAACAGTCTTGGTGAAAACTCCTCTGGCAAAACAGGAGAATGGTAGTTAGTTACCCGGCCAGTTACAGAACCAAAATTAGAGGGAGACCGAGGAAGCCACTTAGGCTGTGGGGGAGAGGACCATGTTAAAGTGACATCTGAATTAGTCTCTCCATTAAAACAATCTAGCTTATAAACTGCAGGACTTTGTTCCCATGGCAGTTATGTGAGTGGCTGTGATCAGCACCAGTGCCTCATGGATGTATAATCTCTGTCCACGACTAAGGTACACTCCCCAGCCTAGCATTCTAATTAAGCATGATGACCTTATGACTCTTAATGTGTACCAGTACTCACCCAGCACTTTAGGGTGTAGTAGAATAATGGTTAGGAGGTAAATACACCTATTATTTTGGCTAATGGACACAGATGAAATAGGATCTGCTCCCCTGAAAGAGTCAGTTTGGGGGGAGAAAACCCTGCTTTTCCATCCCAGAGTTTTAGTCAACATTGTAAAATCATCTCCCATATGAAAGTCCCATGAAAGTCAGATGGAGCAAGACAGGATTTGTGATCCTGTACGAGACTGTGGGTCCACTATTTCTACTATGAGTTAATACACAGTTCCTCATTGGAAAATGTTGCCCACACTGTCACTGAATGCCAATGCAATGCTCTGTAAGAGGGACAGGGGAATCCCTTTCTGACACCCCCAATGCTAGGATTGTCTATTGCCCAGCTTATTAGATCTGATTTCCCATTATCACGAAAGATGCCATTAAACTTCTCATTAAGCACTGAAACATCTACTCTCAGGGGCTATCCTCTGCCAGGAACCACCATGTCCCTAATCTAAGAGTAGAAGCTCAAGTAATATTGATATTTCCCAAATCTTCCATCTATTTTGTCTACAGCCTAAGTATTTCCTCTCCTAGGAGGACTGAGGACTCTGCATACCAACCTGATAAGGTAACCAGAGGGAGGCTTGGAACCTGGACACCTGCACAGGGAACAGATATCAGTAAATCAAAACTGACAAGGAAAAGCAGCAGTGGCAATATCAGTCTCACAGGGAAATAGCCATAGTATACAAAGCTGTCTGTTCAGCAAGGAGTTCCGGTGCTATCCAAAGCCACTAAAGTAGAAGTCCAGTCAAGTGCGCTCTGTGATACATCTTAGAATCACATCTGACAGTTGTGATTGGAAATAACCCTTAATGGTTTCTTTATGGAACAGTGTCAGGACACACTGGTCATGGTTACATGGGACGCTAAATGCACACTAGATTAATTATACTTACTGCACATTAGCACAGCTTTTGCCATGATGCGTTAATGTGCAGTAGAATTAGTCTACCATGCATTAACATCACTAAAAAGGCCATGCGCTGGCGCTTACTGAGCAGTAGCAATGGTTACCACACATTGAATTAGTACTGTTTTTACAGATACCAAACTTAATGCACAGTAACAACAGCATATTAATGCATGTGTAGAAATGGCCAGTATGTCCTGAACTGAACTTTTTAGAATTAGTGAAGTGAAGAAATCGCTATGACAGTGCCCCCTTAAACAAATCTGCATGCTCAGATGGAGAGGAAAGAGAAAGAAACTGTCAGTGTAGTTAATGTTTTATCTTTTACAGAAAGAACTCACTTGTCTGAATGGCCATTTGCAAAAGGTGACTGTGGTTTAGGTTTCCTAGGGAAACAGGAAAGAAACACCATCAGCTGGAGTTAGAACCCCAAAATATGATGCAACAACATGATAGTCACATAATTTGTTAAACAATGAAGCCTATTGACTCTAGAATCAGGCTGTGTGTGAAACAAAGGAGCAAGCAGACCCATAAGAATCAGGCCACTAGTATCTAGACCAAGGTTTTTAGAAGAGGCTCATCATTTGAGACTGGAATTTCCATCTCAATTTTGCAGCGCCCAACTTTGCAGAGGCCTGGTTTTTAGAGGCTGGGTGCCCATTACTTTGTAAAAATGAGATCCATTTAAATACTTCAGGCTGGGCAATTATAAACAGAGACAGTGCAAATCAGTTGACATCTGAAAATCTTGGCTTATTATTATTGATAATAGTACCACATTTGAGCACACAGCATGGACCAGAACCCTATTGTCCTAGGGTTTGTACAAACAGAAACCAAAAAAAGCTTACAATATAAGTAACCAAGATTTCCACCTATCTCACTCACTAGGTACATACTAAGGTATCTGTGTGGTCCTTATAGCCATAGTTCTGATAGTCTTTGGGTTCAAAGACTGCAGCTGCTCTCTAGTCTTCAATCTGTGGCATGCTCAAAAGTGACTGTAAGAGATGTCTGCAAGTGCCTTCACGGGCATTCTGGATTTGACTCACGTGAGGTGGAGCATTTGGGTAGGGTTTGCTCAGGGGGATCCATCACTGACAGTGCCAGACACGTGGTATGACTGTATCCTTGGTCTCCCCATTATTCATCTTCAGTAGATTTCAGCTTCTCACATGTCAGGGTGAAGTGAAAATGCCCCCTCAAAGCACCATGCTCCCGAGGTCACATATGTTGCTATTATTATTTATACATCCCTGATATGCGAGATGCTGTGGAGGCTAGGAGGAAAGTAAGGACTCTGCCTGGGAAGTCCTGTTGTCTAACTGAGAGACATGGTATAATGAGAATTGACATGAGGCTGTGTAGGGGAAGCAGTAGTAAAACTCATCATGAGAGAGTTATTTACAAAAAAAATCGAAAGAGGTGAGGCCTCTTGCTCCTCACCCATCCCATATATTTATGTTGATAGGTCCTAACCCTGCAACCTCACAGGTGCAGGTGGATTCCTGTGTCAGCAGGTGTGTCTATGTGAGATGCTTTACTGTGGAGTAGACTAATCTACTCCACAGTAAAGCATCAGGGTCTACACATGCACACATTTATGGCACAGTAAATTAGTCTACTGCACAGTTAGTTACGATCCATAAATACAGGTAGTAAACTAACTGCGCAGTAGATACTGCACAGTAGTGCATGTCTGGGAAGAAATTTACTCCTGGTCAGCCCCTACACTAGGGGGGTGAAAGGGGACAGGGGATTCCCCCAGTCCTGGCACTATTGGGAGCTGAATAGCACTCGGACAGGGTAGCTCTCTGCTCACTCCGCTATCCTGGTGCTGCTCAACTCCTGGTTCCCCACAGGAGTTGGGAGCTGAACAGCACCGGGGCTCAGGAGCTCCCTGCTTCCCTGGTCAGCCTGGGACTGGCCAGGAACTGTCCTCTTTGGTGGCAGGTCCCAGCCAGCTCTGGGCTGCATGGAGAGTTCCCCACTCAGCCCCAAGGCTGGCCGGGAACTATCACATTCTGGTGTGCAGCCCAGAGCTGACTGGGACCTGCCCCAGAACGGGACAGTTCCTGGCCAGTCCCAGGCTGCACAGGGAAGTCCTGCTGGGCAGAGGGCTTGTCCCCATGTGCATGGGACATGAAAGCTCTGCAGCAGTAGCTGTCTCTTGGCCCCATGCACATCAGGCCCCGAACAATGTACAGGGCCAGGAGACAGCTGCTGCTGCTGCAGCTGGCAAAGTTCTCCTGTCCCTGTGTGCATGGGGACCGGCCCGTGCTCCCTGCTAGCTCCTGGGCTAGCACCCAGGGGGAGCAGCCCTGTACCAGGTTGCTCCCATTGGCCACATCCAGATGAGCACGGACATTTGGTTCCCCGGGGACAAGTAGCAGTAGCACACCTTGAGCTGCAGCTACTTCTCCCAGGGGAACACCTGTGCCACACATGCTTTGACATGCACAAAGTTAGCCTGGGGATAGTAGGGGAGACTGGGGCCAGCACTGTGCAGGCCCCTGCAGCCTTACCTGGGGTCCAGAGGCCCTCCTGGGACTGCAACAGTGGTGTGGCTCCAAGCGGCTTGGCTCTGCTTTTCAGTGGCGTGTGCTACCCATGTGTTCGCTGCTCCAGTTTTTTTCCCATGGGTTTTTTTGACCCCTGGTTACCCACAGAAAAAAAGGCTAGAGTAGCACACACACAGGCAGTGTGCCCTTTCAGCATGGAGAACACCTGACCGTGTGGTATGTGGTGCTGCAGATGTGTTTGCAGCACCACATACCGCATGGCCGCATTCGTCTGGACACACCCATTGGAAGCATATCTGCTCCCAAGAGTGAGCATTTGTAGACATGATCCTGGGTAGACTTACTGCACAGTCAGCCTACTTCAAATTAATATCACATGTAGATGTGCCCAGTGAGATGCTCTGACCACAAAGCTGGTACAGGGATCTAGTTCTCTTCTGAGCTTGCAGGATCAGGCTGTCTAACGCTTCCTGGTAGCTCAGGTGCTCTAGATGCAGGAGTAGCTTTAGAGATGAGTAGAGAGAAAATCAGAAAGTCTCCACTTCTAAGCCAGAGTTAGGTTTGGGCAGCCTGCGACTACCAGGCAGGTCCCAACTTGCTGATATGCTAAGGTTTCTACACATGCTCCTCAGTGTTAAGGTGATAGAAACATTAGCTTTTGAAAGGCTTGTTTGGAGAAGAATGACTTTTATTTGTTTCTGTTTTTAATTAAACAATGTCGTAAATTGGACCTTCAGGGCAAATGGTGCAGAGCTTCACTCAATGCCTCATGCAAAGGGTGAGTAGCTAAAGGTGGCTGTATGCTCTGATGCTGGGGCCAGCCAAAGGTAAGGCAAAGCTAGCTGTGCCAGTTCCATATCTTTTAGAGATTCTCCACCAATGGAATCTGCATCTATTTAAACAAGGCAGCTTTATAGACCCTTTTTGCCTTCCCAACAACCAGAGAGCAAAATCTGGCCCCATGAGTTCAGCTGATTTTGTTCTGTTTCCTGAAGCTTAACAATTCCTCTGAGCTGCTGGCTCCATGGCTCCCTGGAAAAGTCATTTCTACAGCATTCCCTCCAACGTGCATTTATCAAAAGTAAATAAAAGTAATGTGCCTATGTCACTGAAATTCACAGCCAGCAGCAGGACCCTGTAACATGGCAAGGAGCTCCAGACAGAGATGGGGGTGTCTAGGACTTCAGTGAGTTTGGGGAATGAGGTGTCCTAAAACAGCTCAGTTTGAGGGGGAAGGAAGAGGGGAAAGACAGGGACAAAAAGCTGGCAGGGGTAATCCCACTTACAATGGACTCTTTCTTTCATCCTCAGAATCTGAGTTCTGTGGGTTGATCCAACTCTTGTCCCCTTTTAATGTGGTGCGCACCTTCATCTGCCTGATGATCTTCCTGCGATCTTCCTCAGTAGGTGGAATGACACCATCTAATACCAAACAACAGGAAATGATTTAGTGGAGGTGGAGGATGGAGGGACTGAGTTTGCTGATTAAGGGTAAGAAATCTCACTCTCAATCGATGCAGCCAACAGTCAGTTCAAGTTAAAACAGAAATCAGACTCCATTTCTTATTCTAATAGATTTACAACAATAAGGGAATGTTTGACCCACTCAGACAGACTTTAGCAGAAGGCATTAGGCAGCCAGCAAAGTCAGAAGCAAACTTCAAAGTGGACTTCAGTGTCACTTTACACTGGATATCCTAGTTCATAGCACCCTCTGCTGAAATATATACAACTCATTTGCTTGTGCTCTTGTAAGAGTAGGGTTGAACTTTAATGAATTGTCTTCCTAGAGCAGAACACCAGGAGCATTTAGGTGACAGTCTGATCAAACATTTAAAAGGTAGTATTTCCCTTTGCATCACTGGTATCTATTATGAGTAGTTCTAGCTATGGCAAGTGTGAGACTGGGGAAAAATGTGTTTCTGATTTGCAGAAGTAGCTTGATATTTCTGTAGATTGGGGGTGAGCCAAGTTTAGGATATGCTTTATCAAGGGCAAATAAAACTTATGCATCCTAGGTGTCAACTTTGTCTAGTGTCAGGTCTGAATTAGAGGGAAAGGAGACACCTTTCAACTGCTTATTGTGAGTTTTTGATTACTTATTGTTACTTCAACTACAAATATGATGAAACATGTCTATCTAAATATATGTACAGCACCTAGCACAGTGTGGCTCTGAGTCTGAATGGAGCCTCCAAAAACAATTGCTATGGGTGTCCTATCAGGCTCCATGAGGAAGAATCGCCACTGCTGCAGCCCCAGGAAGCTCCCAGGACCCCAGGTAAAGTTGTTGGGGCCAGCCCAGTGCTGGCCCCAGCCTCCTCTACCACCTCCAGGGTAACCTGCCGCACACCAGAGCACATGTGGCATGGGTGTGCCCTGGGAACAACTAGTGACAGTGCAAAATGTGCCGCTGCTAGTTGTCCCTGGGGAACCAAATGTCCATACCATGTGTGGACATGGCCATAGGTTTAGACAACCAAATCAGGTTGTCTAAACATCCAGAAAACAACAGAATGCCACTCTTAGTTTTTATAGTAGTATATCTATATTGCATCTTCACTTCTTTTATTCCCATCCCTCACTTCCACAGTGATGAAGGGGCCAAATGAAGGCTCGCTATTCATTTAATTTCTATGTCCTTATATGCACCAAGAGCCAATCCCATTTCATCTTTATTATGCTGCCCAAAATAGAATAGAAGAGGTGGGGATCCTCCCACGTTTTTTGCTCAATAACCTAATGGTTAGAACACTTGCCTAGGGAGTGGGAGTCCCACGTTCTAGGTCTCCTCCTCACTTCGAAAGGGTCTGATCCTTCATCTCCCATTTCCCAGCTAAGTGCTGTAACACCAGGCCATAGGCTAGGCATTATCCAGAGTGGCCTCCTCTTAAAGTTCACCACTGGGCTGCCAAGCAGGAAGTTATGCAGGGCTAGGAGGAGAGCAAGCTAAAAGGATTGTGGTTCAGTGAGATGACTGCTGCCCTTGAAGGGAAGAAACCCTTGTTTTTGACCCCTTCCAATGGCCTTGCTACACATTGCATTTAATATTCATTGGAGAAAAAGGATAAGCAATAGTGGGGATAGGGACCAGGACCCTCATTCCAGTGCAGTGCCCATATCAGTGGGCTGCCCTCCTTTTGACTTGCTTTTCTCCAGGCCACATATCTACTCTGTTGGCTGCACAGGGGGCCAGTTTCAGCAGAAGGATGTCCTAGAAAACACCTGACAGTTAAAGCATTTTGCTAGGAAGTGGAAGATGCAGATTCAAAACCCCCTGGGTTCACAGACCTAGAACCTGGGTCCCTAAACCCCTGAGCATGGCCTTAACAGTCCCTTACCTATTGGACTCAGAAGGTAGCAGTATCCCCTTCTCTTCCCACCCCTACCCTTGCCACCCGAGAAGCTCCTCAAGGTTTTTTCTCTGACCATGCTTTCAGAGACTTACACACTGTTAATGTGTATACCTGAGTGATCCTCTTCCACCACAGAGTTTACCTAGCCATCCCAGGGCCTTCTAAATATAGGTTAGTCCAGAGCAAGCACACCTATACAAGTTAAAACAGATTCTAAAATCTACACTAATGCCCCAAACATCTGTAACACAGCTACATAAGTGGCTTTTAGAGGCACAAAGATGAAATAGGATTTGGCCCTAAGTCTTCAACCATGACTCCTTGCCTCAAATCTACAGCACCCAAAACTAATCCAATGTGATCTCCTATCTAAGTACTGGCTAGGTCCAGCTCTGCTTAATTTCCAAAGTCTGGTGCAAATGCATGTCCAGCATAGCTGCTCAACTACATCAGGTAAGGGGTTTTTTTTTTACTTTAAAAAATCATATCAGAAGGGCCCCTAATGTGGGTGCAGTTATACAGCTCAAACCATACTTTGCATTGGTATAACTTAGTTTTTTTCATTTAGGAATAACTGTATCAGAATATTTACCTTGATAACAGTATAACTGTACTCACAATAGGGAGATGTGCTCGCAAAGTTATTTTGTGTGTAAATAAGTCCTTCATGCCAAACAGAAAATAATACTTTTATTCTTGAATATTGACACTTGAAAATAAAGGTGTTACTTTTATAAAAGTGAAAATAACACTTCTCAAAATGAGATTGTTGATTGTTGTTGTTGTTAAAATGAATGTGACATTTCACGCTTCACAAAACTATTGTTTTAAGTTGCTTACAGATTTAGTAAATATCACATATGTTAAGATTTGACTTACATTTTAAAGGATCCATTAAAGTTTTGACTGCGGGGGTGAGATGTGGCATTATTTCAAAAATGATACCTCACAGTTTGGTATCTAGGCAGATAGTATTGCTGAATGAAACATAGCACCAAGAAGTTTATTGCACCCTCATTAAGTGAGGCAATCCAAGAGAAGGAGAGTCAGACTTATTTATGATGTAAATTAGTGTAGTGCCTAGAAGTTCTGATAACAGATTAGAACACCATTGTGCTACGTCCTGTACACATATAAAATAGGAGATAATGTATATCTTGTCCCAAAGACCTTTCTGATACAGGGGGAGCACAAGATGCAAATGAGACAATACTGGTTAATGTTATAGGCAGCAGCCCTAGCATATTGCAGGCCTAATTATAACCAATTTTTTTTGAGGAAACCAAAGGTTTTAATGGAAGATTTGAGGAAAGATAACGCACAAACTTACTATTATTTTGTTCACCATAAAAATCAGGAAAGGTTGCCAATTTTCCAGCTTTCTCAGTCTTTGTGGGCATTAGAATTCTAATTCAGTGAAATATCAAACTCAAAGAATTCTGTAGTTAGCCAATGATATTTAATGAATAAAGCTTATCTGAGCGGTAAGGAGTAGGGTATATGGAGTTTCACAAACTAAACAATAAATCAGGCAGTCGAGGAAACTGAAATTCATGTCACTGAGCAAATATGATGAGAAAGTCTGAAGGAAGCAGAGAGCTGTTAAGAGGCTTATGTGGAGCTAAAGAGTTTACCTTTGCTGACACCAAGGGACAACATGGCTCTCAACTATGCTTCTACTTTCGTTCCAGTTCAAAGCAATGTGTACACCTGAAAAAAAATGAAAAAGGGAAGAAACTCAGTTTGTTCATCTGGTTATGAATGGTTTCAAATCCAGCTGCAGAGGAGTGTGTTATTCAGCACTGGTAAGGCCTCACCTGGAGTACTGAGTCCAGTTTCCGGGACTTCACTTCAAGGAAGGCATAGACAAATTAGAAAGAGTCTGGTGGAATGATGGAGCAGCATTTAAAAATGGACCCACCTGAACAGAATGGGAAGAGCTGCCTGGCAGAGAGACAGAGTTTGTCCCAGAGGGGACACTGTAGGCTCTGAAAGCAAGTGAAGCTGTTTTGGAAGTAGCCCTGTTGGAAGTGGGAGGGGGTGACGTAACCCCAGCCAAGTTTTGACATAGAGCCGTTAGCAAAAGCCCGGGAAGGGCCCTGAGCTGGGATTGGCTGAGAGACTTGGATAAAAGGGGAGAAAAGTTTTCCCATGGGAGAGAACAAGAGGAAGGGGGGGGGGGGGGGGGCCTGAGGGACAGGATGGAGACCGGATTCAAAGTCTCAACACAGTGGTCCCTCGGAGAGCCCCTGGGAGTGCCCTGTGGAAACTGCAGCAGAGGCTGAAACGGGAGTGATACAGTATCCAGTTCTTCTCTCCCGCCCAGGGAGGCTGGCAGCAGGATCAGGCAGGGACTGCTTGTGTGGAAACTCAAGCCTGCTTAGACCTGACTGCAGCCCGGTGTGGCTGGGTGAGCACAGCAGAGCCGGGGGGTGGGGGACTGCCCTAGTTTCCCTGATGGGTGAGGGGCCCCAGGGGCAGGCAAAGCCCAGGGTGGGGCTGTGTTTGCCAGGGCTGTGAGACTGTGCGGGACAGGAGGGTTGCTACAGCCTGCAGCCCAGACACTGCTCTCAGCAGAGCCAGGGAAGGGGGTCAAAGGCAGGGGAAGGCTGTCTTGCAGGGATTGCGGAGGAGCCGCTGCTTGCCGCCCAGAGGCCGCTTGCTGCCTGGAGACCCCAGGAGCACGGAGACGGATACCAGTGCCAGGGAGCATCCACAGACCACGTGCAGGGACACAGACAGTCCTGCTCCCTGAGACACCCCACCAGGGGCAGTGCACGCAGGATCCCTAGTACACAGTGTGCAAGTGAGAGACTGTGTAAATAAGTTCTTGAGGGTTTACTAGTCGGTATATCCATGTGCTTATTTAATGATTATTTGTTATGTTGTAAATAATTAAATCTTGTAAATAGTTTGAGAATTGTCTGTGAGGGTGCTTGATTGTAAGGGGAGGCTCTCTGCTCAGGGGCACTGCAGCAGCTTCCCAGGGGGGCTGGGCAGGGCTACTGGCTACCAGGTACCCCAGAATCCCATTATTCAGGTGAGGGTGCATGTAGTGTTGTGCCCAGGGTTACAACAATTATTAGAGCCACAAAGAAATCATGACTTTCAAGGAAAGATGGGAAGACCTGGGATTATTTAGCCTGGACAAGAGATGACTGAGGGAGGACTTTATAAAACAGTTCTTAAATATATTAAGTGTTATCACAAAAAGGATGGTGATAGACTAATCTCTGTGTCCATAGGAGAAAAGGCTAGAAGTAATAGTTTTAAACTGCAACAAGGGAAATCTAGGTTAGATATTAGGAAGCAACAATTTTATGAACAGCATAATACAGTATTAACACAGTACCAGGAATTAAAGATGGGAAATGTGTTACCCCTTCTACTTCAATTAATCCTTTTGGCAGTCTTAGGTTCCTCCCCCACACAGTATACATTCAGGGACTGGTGTGAGAAAGTTGTCTAGAATGAATTCAATCACTTGGATTCATTTTCAGATCCATTAATTCCAGTCTAATCATAGCAGATCTACCCTTCCTACACAGGGAATAAGATGTTTCCCAGGAACATATGCCTGGAAGCACTCAAAATCCAAGGAAACCCATACTAATGATGTTATAACACCAAAATTCTTTCATAACACAGCACTTTCTGAAGAACTGACGACAACTTATTCCTTTGGTGATGACCTGCCAGCCATGCATATGGCTTGAAGCAGCCTATGGTTACCTTGTTCTATAGACACTTGCATGCATAAGCATACACCCACACTAACAGATGCTTTCAGGAGTCTGTAAGTTAAACACCTCAGTGATGAAGAACTACATTACCTCTTTCATCCAAAGAGCTCTACATTCTTTATAGGCTGATTTTGGCTGAAGGGTTGTCTTTGAGCATAATCTTCTGTAGCAATGTTCCCAGAAGCTTTTGTGAGTCAGCACAGAACCGGTGCACCTACGCAGATGTTGGGCTGACCTTTCCACCTTCCCTAAATTCCTGGCCACTCATGGTCACTGGAAATGGGGTCATTTGATCCCAGCAGTCTTTCCTGCCCAAGTGCAGGGGGGCTGGACCCGATAATCTGTAAGATCCTTCCAGCATCTAACAACTATGAAGCTATGACATCCCATGGTATTTTTGGTCAGACTAAGATGTTATCATTGGGATCTTTGCTAAATTCTGGTTTGGTTAATTATACTCTGCTAGTCTGAATCCCCTCTGAAAAAAACTGCAGTTGGGCATATTTGCATCTTATCCTAAAGCAGCATGTGACAGGGTAACTGAAGTACCCTGCCACAGGAAAAACAGGGAGAAGGAGAAAAAAGAAGAAAACTTACCCCAAGACGCAAGAAGAACCATGATGAATCCAGATGGGGAGAATGCCGTGGCACAGAAAATTAAAGGAGTCGGCTGGTGCCATGGCAGATGAAAGGCTGCTGTGGCAAACCCAGCTGCTGGGGCTCGAGCCCAGAGGGAAGAAACCAGTGTGGCCAAAGGGAGAAGAAAGAAACCGTGCCAAAGAGAGAGAGAAAAAATAGTTGCATCAAGCAGGCAGCGAATAGGGGGCTGCTACAGTGGACCCAGCTGGGGAAAGAGGAGACTTAACGGACACCGGCAGGGCAGCCCGGGGTCGGAAGGAGAGAGAGGGAGGCAGGAAGAAAAGCAGAAGGCAGGTGGGATCACCAGAGAGGGGAACCGACCCTGGAGCTTAAGGGAGAGCTCCAGTCCTCCGACTCACCTGGAGAGAACCAGGGAAGAATCTTCGCCAATGAGAAGAGTCACTACAGGAGCTGAGGAAGCTGCTCGTCTGGTGAGTCCAGCCCCAGGGGGTGAAGGTAACCACTCTGGGAACCTGAAAGAAGATAGAGATATGGAAAAAGTTACACCCCAGGAGGGAGCGAGTCTGCCCTGACCCTGAAGATAAGGGCGGGATTAGACATAAGAAGGGCTGCCTTGGGACCCATGCAGGGAAGAATGGGGCAAGCAGCAGGCTCTCTCTCCCGCAGTTCCTCTGGCTGTGCCTGCCTCTCCCTGGGTGGGGGGGAGCTGTGGGAGAAGCCCCCACAGCTGCTCTGCCCAGCTCCATCCCCTGCCCAGATCCAGCCTCCTGGCACTTACAAAAAAAAAAAAGCCTCACACTCACCAGATGCAGGGGCTCTGGGGGCTCTGGAGCCTCCTGACAGAGCACCCCTGCACAGCCCCTGCTCCCCAATCTCCCCCCCTGCCCCTGGCCATGCCCCTGATGGCCCCCCTGCCTGGCCCAAGCAGTCTGGGACTAAAAATCTCCAACCCCCTTCCTCTCCCCGCCACAAAAAAACAAAAAAGCATATTCGCCGGCAGTGGCCTCTGAGGCTGCATGGCAGAGCACCCCCCGCCACATAGTCCCCATTCCCTGATCTCCCCGCCTGGCCCAGCCCCGCCCCAATGGCTGCCCCATCCAGCCCCAACATCCAGGCAATTATAAAAAAGCCCTGCACTCACCAGCTCTGGCTGCAGGGATCAGAGCCTTTGAGGGCTCATGGCAGAGTCCCCTGCACACCGTGGGGCAGTGGGAGGCAGCAGGGATCGATCCCCCACCTGGCACCTGTGCTGCAGCTGCCCCATGGCGTGGGTGCAGCATCCCAATGGCTGCCCCATCCAGCCCCAACATCCAGGCAATTATAAAAAAGCCCTGCACTCACCAGCTCTGGCTGCAGGGATCAGAGCCTTTGAGGGCTCATGGCAGAGTCCCCTGCACACCGTGGGGCAGTGGGAGGCAGCAGGGATCGATCCCCCACCTGGCACCTGTGCTGCAGCTGCCCCATGGCGTGGGTGCAGCATGGCTCGGCAGGGCACTGCGCTCTGTCTGGGGTGGCTCCATGTGTCAGCCAGAGCCCAGCACCATGCTGCCCCAGCTCCCAGACAACATGCAGTGCCCTGCCAAGCCTCACTGCACCCACGCTATGGGACAGCTGCCGTGGGGGTGCCAGGTGGGGGTTTGATCCCTGCTGCCCCCCACTGCCCCATGCTGTGCAGGGGGCTCTGCCAGGAGCCCCAAGAGGCCCCAATTGCTGCTGCTGCAGCCAGTGAGTGCAGGGCTTTTAAAATGATTATTGTATTTAGTTGCCAGGATGCAATCAGAAAGCAGGGGCTGTGTGTGTGGGGGGGGGGCTCTGCCATGTGGCCCCAGAGCCCCCACGGCCCCTGCTGCAGCCATTGGGACAGGGGCTTTTTTTTTTTTTTTTTTAATTAAAGTGCCAGGAAGCTGGGGCCAGGTGGGGGATGGGGCCGGGCAGGGCAACCATGGGGGCTTCTCCCGTGACTCCCCCCCAACCCGGAGGGGAGAACCTGTAGCTTCTCGGCTATGCCTGCTTCTCCCCAGCAGATCAGAATCTCCAAATCAGTGCTGAATCTCCAGTTCTGATTCAACCAAATCAAATGGGGACAATGATTCAAATCACCAAATTGAATCACTGTCCTCCGAATTGGGCAAATCTAAATCAAATACTTCCCTGTTCGTACAGGCCTAGTGTCTACATGTGCATTGCAGTGCACTAAATAAACACAAGTACTATCCTGTGGCTGCATTACAAGTACTAATCTACTGTGGTGTTTATTAGTTTACTGTGGCCTAATAGGGCTGTATGTGTAGGCACTGAGACTCTACTGCAGAGCTAATTAGGCAGCTCTGCAGGAAATGTCTCATGTTGGTGTGCCCGCTATGGGTGCTATTGCTTCAGCTGACTGCGGTTCTTACCAGAGCAGGCTCCGTTCAGCACTAAGTGCATTTTTACACATGCAAGTGCCCGGCGCTGCGATGCTTGCTTGCAACTATGTAAGTGGCGAAATGTGGATCAGTGCTGAAAAAATGGTGGCGGCGGGCTTTTGAATTAAAACACATCAGAAGTGCTTTAATTCAAAAGCACACTGCAGCCATTTTCTGCGCGCTGACGTGTCTTTCACCGCTTATGCAACTACACAGTGCAGCACAGTTTGCCTCAGATCGGGTGCAGAGCAGACTCAATTAATTGAGTCTGCTCCAAAGCAGCAGATCTCCAGTGCATCGCAGGACAGAAAAGTGTGTGTATAAATGCCCTAAGTGAAGTATTTCCTATGCACACAGTCTGTGAAGTGCTTTGGAATTAGGGTTGTGTGCCAGTTTTCAGTTGTGGGGCTAGATTAAAAAAAAAGAAAACACACATTGTTTCAGGTCAACCCCAAAATGAAATTTGCTTTTGCATTTTGTATCTCCCCTAGTAGTTTGGTATTTTTATCTATTTGTGTGCCATGGCATTTGTAGCTTATATTTTATACTCCTCACCTTTCAACTTTCAACTAAATGTGTTTAGTTTCGTAAGTAAGTTATACATTGTAACAATGTTAACAAGGGCAGGAATCAAACTGCCCTTCCCTGTATCAGGCTGGCCCCTGAATGAGTGAGTGAATCAGTGATTGAATGTGTAACACTGTAGCAGCAGACAGCAATTAACACCTGGAAGCTGCAGATCAGCCAAGGGAAGAACTCAATAGAAGACAATGTAACAACCGGGAAATCTCTAAACCTCACTGATCAAGGGCTAGAAGCCCTGGCCTGAGTTAATCAACGCCGGGGACCAACTTTTGGGCTGAGTATCTCCAGATCAACTGCTCCCAGAGCCCTATTCAAAATTCATCAATGGACTCCCAAACCTGCACGTACATGTGGATGACCTTTGGGGCTGACAGATGCCATCCAGTAGCCACCGAGGGGGGAGGGGGAAGTCCCACGAGGGTCAATGACCCCTGGATTAGGCAAACCTGAAAACTGGGGAGTCACCAAAGTCTGCCAAGGACAGATAAAAGGCAGTGAAAAGTGACCCTCAGGGGCGCCCTCTTGATCTCCAACTCGACCAGACCTGTCCAGCCAGAAGGACCAGCCGGCGACCCCCTTCTGGAAGATAACACCATGCTGAAAGAAGCCTCAATGACAGACTCCAGCACTTGTAGGATAGGTATACCTGACTCTGTAGCCTGCTATTGTGTGTGTGTGTGTGTGGGGGGGGGACCAGCCCCAAGGTTTATGATTACAGTGTTTCAATCCGCCTAATAAACTAGAATTTTAAGGATCCCGAGTTGGACATTTGTAGCCAACACCACCACCTCTCTGGGTAACCTGTTCCACTGTTTTTCTACCCTCCTAGTGAGAAAATTCTTCCTAATATCTAACCTAAACTTCCCTTGCTGCAACTTGAGACCATTGCTCCTTGTTCTGTCATCTGCCACCAGTGAGATCAGTCTAGCTCCATCCTCTTTCAAACCCCCGCTTCAGGTTGTTGGAGACTGCTATTCAGTCTCCTGTTCTCTAGACTAAATAAACCTAGATCCCCCAATCCTTCCTCATAAGTCATGTCCTCCAGCCCACTCACCATTTTTGTCACCCTCCACTGGACCCTCTCCAATTTGTCCACATCCTTTTTGTAGTGAGGCCCCCCAACACTGAACACAGTACTCCAGATGTGGCCTCACCAGTGCTGAATAGAGGAGAATAATCACTTCCCTGGATCTGCTGGCAACACACCTACCAATGCAGCCCAGTATGCTGTTAGCCCTCTTTGCAACAAGGGCACACTGTTGGCTCATTCAGCTTATTGTCCACTGTAACCCCCAGGTCCTTTTCTGCAGAGCTGCTGCCCAGCCAGTCAGCCCCCCACCTTTACTGGTGCATGGCATTGTTCTCCACTGTATCTACTACTCCCCACAGCTTGGTGTCATCTGCAAACTCACTGAGGGTGCACTCTGTGCCATCTGCCAGGTCACTGGTGAAGACATTAAACAAAACCGGCCCCAGGACCGACCCCCTGGGACACTCCACTTGACCCTGGCTGACATCTAGACATCGAGCCATTGATTACTACTCTCTGAGCCTGATGCTTCAGCCAGTTTTCTATCCACCTTACAGTAAATTCATCCAACCTGTACTTCCTTAGCTTGCCTGGAAGAATGGTGTGAGAGACCATATCAAAAGCCTTGCTAAAAGCAAGGTACACCATATAATACTTATTGACAGACTGTGAGATTAAGATGCAGAAACTATAACTGTGATGAAGAAACAAGTATGAACAGAGATACACAGGACACACCAAAGCAAACCAAAAACAGATAGACAGGTCAAAAAGTAAGGAGAAATGTTGAAAGCTCCAAACCAGCTCATTCTTCCACCCTCTTCCACATTACACCACTCATTTTCCTTGTATGTAACTTTGTAAAGGTGAATATCAAAGACTTAGAAATGAAATCATCTTGAAATCCCAAGTTATTAATGCAATGTGTTGTGCTTAGCCTTTAATAAGAACTCTATGAAGAGTGCTCCTCCCATGGAAATCAATGATATGTCAACACGGAGTGTTTCTGAATTAGGTCACGGCTACAGCACAAACTTTGGCCAGTGCAGTAATGTTGCTGAGGGGCATGATTTTTCTTTAAACATATTTTTACTGGTAAAACCCTTAGCATAGATGCAGTTACACTGGCAAAGGAATTTTTGCTAATATAGTTTGTTTAATTTGGGAAATTACTACTATATCCCCACAGAAACTCTTTTGTAAGTATAAGCTTAGGAATGAGCTCCCCTGCATTCTGTGGCCATGGTTTGAGCCCCAAAGTAGTATTCCTCTCAGGAAGAATCATCTTGGAGTTTGGAATGCTACAACAATCTGTCTATGCCTACAGGGATTACAGATGGCCAGCTAGTGCATCATGAGGGTTAGTGCTATGAGCCTAGTCTCTGGCTCTCTATAGCTTCCCTATACATTCTTCTGAAATCTAATCTCATCTCATTGCTACAGTCACTTTCCATACTGATTTTCAAAGACCACAGCAAATTCCTTTCTACTA